TTGGCGCGCCCTTCAGCGGCCCAGTAATTGCGCCGCCCCCGACGGGCTTGCATGACATTGGCTCAATCTGGCCCCTGCAGGCGCAAGCAGACATCAACTGATACTGTGAGGTGAGAACAAGCTCACAGGCGAGCAGACATCAGCCTGATGCTGGAGGCGGGGGGGAGATTGGGGGTGAGAACAAGCTCCACAGGCGAGCAGACACTCAGCCTGATGCTGGGGGTGAGAACAAGCTCACAGGCGAGCAGACATCAGCTGATGCTGGGGGTGAGAACAAGCTCACAGTACTTCTACCGAAGTGTTCAAATTGGTTTCCTTGAGCAAGCAGAAAACTGTCATTAAGAAAGCCTCACTATAACCTGAACAGAAACAGAACAACGGAAATATCGGCATTGTCAACATTAAGCGCTGCCTTTGACCGCACTGCTGTGGTTTCCAGCACTGCCACAATATCAGTACTTCTGTTCATCCGCTCTAAAACACCCTGAAGGCAAACTTTGAAAAAGCCTTAGTTACGGCGTTAAAGGGGAATTCCGGGTAAAACTGAAATGTTCTGATTCGAATGCGGAAACCTAATCACGGCTTCCCTGCGCACATGCCATTCGGAGGCCAGCTGTTGACAAGCCTTTCTTTCCAACATCTCAGAGACTCACACTGAAACAAACGTGCTGCTTACAACGTTGCCACGCGTGAGGGATGTCAGTCCGTTTGTGTCAAGTGTCAGGCGTGAAAAGGTAAACAGGCGCCGACAAAGTGCCATGCTTTGAACGTACGTGAGACGACAAAATGCAACGTGAAACAATAAACCCAGAGCTGGGGAAGCTCTGCAAGCTTAGGTTTAGCAGCTGGATCGTTCACCACCTCAGTAGCTAGTCCAGCACTCGTATGGAGCCATCAGCCCTGTTTGACGTGTTGCAGCGGCACGAGGTCAATACCTCAACGTGTGGGTCACCATTGACGCGTTGTTCACGTTGTATCACGTTTAGGTTACCAATATCGCGCACGTCACTATCTTCGCTGACGCCAGGCAAAGGTGGCAGTAGTTGCCTTGGTGTTCTCTTCAGAGGACAACCCGAGCCCCGTGCAGTGCAACACAAGCGTGATTATCTGCACCTCAAGGCCCGTGCTAGCGACCGGCTGGCACAGACCGTTTCTGCTACTACCGCCGGCGCTTCGGGACGAAAGCCTGTCTCTGTGACCAGCCCTGTGCGTGGAAGTCCTATTTGGTACACGAGCAGGTCTGAAGCCGTTCGCGCCAGCAACTTCAGGCCAACTGCCGCTGGCGCAGCTGTTCTTCACCGAAGACAACCGGCTTGGTCGGCCGCTGCTAGTGGACACTGGTGCACAAGTCAGCTTACTGCCGTCCGCAGCCTTCCCATGCGACTCCGAAGTGACGCGCTTACAGCTCCTTCGGTTGGAGGCTGCCAGCGGCACGGTAGTGAAGACTTTTGTAGGACACCGGCATGCCGTCCGACTTGGCGGCGGGCTGCGCTTTGAATGAGAGTTCACCATCGCTGACGTGCCACTCCGATTCTGGGCGCAGATATCCTCGCACATCATCAACCGGCGGATGACATAGGCCTCCAGGTCCCGCAGGATGCATCATGTCAGGCTTGCCCGCGGAACCCTTGCCACCATTCGTTCCTTGGAGCTGAGAGTCGCCTCCATCGCGGCAACCGAAGTTTCTCCTTACGTCTCGCTGCTTCGACAGTTT